TGAAAAATGATAGTGGACCAACAAGTTTTGTTATTTTAGTTATTCTACTCACTGTCGTTTGCATAGCGGTGTAATGGACGTCAATTTGGCGCGGTACAGCATCGAAGACGATTGCTCGTTGTACATAATCATAATCTACTCTCAAATGAATTGTTAAACAGTTGGAACTTATTGGACTGACGCACTGCTGTTATGAAGATGGCGGCACACTTGTTTTGAACCAGGCTACAGTAACCAGATAGCTGAGTAGTGGGAATCCTTCTCTTGTTAACATTATGTGACATATAGCTATCAGAATCAACAAACCACCCTAACGATGTCCAAGCCTACTGTTATTTTCTTTTTTTAGTTGTTACTGAGAAGCTTCTCTACCGCCCATTTTACCGAGAAGTTCCGCAGGTCTGAATAGTGCTGGCCAACACCAACAAAAAGTACAGGGACGTTTGTCGCGTGAACAAGACTAACCAGGGTGCCGACCATGTCACCAACAGTGTCACACTTGGAGATGATAAAGCCATCAAGTGTGCGAACAGCACCAAAAGCAGCGTTGAAGTTGCGTGCTTGAGCGACTGAGTCGGTACCTACGAGAGCCTGAGATTGAGATTAGCCAATGCCGAAATGGGTTTCAATGAACGGACGACATACCTCGCCAACCATGAGGATCTTGTCAGGTTGAGCAAACTTGGCAAATTTCTCGAGAGAAGACATAAGGCGCTGATCGTTATGTCTTCTGCCAGCTGTGTCAATGAGAACGACGTCGTAGCCCTCTTGCGCAGCATGGGTCACGGCATCCTTTGCAACCGTAGCAGCATCCTTGCCATAGCCTTTCTGGTAGAGTTCAACGCGACCACCTTCACGAGCCGTCAACTCCTTGAGGTTTCGGACGTGAACAGCAAGTTGCTCGACAGCGCCGGAGCGGAAAGTGTCACCAGCGGCGATCAGAACCTTGTACTTATTCTGGAGGAGGAAGAAGCAAATTTTGGAGAGGTTGGTGGACTTTCCTACACCGTTGACACCCACAATTGACATAACATATGGACGAGCCTTGCGGAGAGATGTCACCGGGGGAGCTGTGATGGCGTCTATTTCGCGAAGAAGGTCGAGGGATGATGTTGGGGTAAGCATCTTTGTGAGCGAGGCCTCCATGGCGGCTTGAATTCTGGCATTAATACCTGCGAAACTGGTCAGATGGAGTCAACAGGACATGATAGCGGTCAGTGAACGTACTCTCGAAACTGCCGGTTTTGACACCAAGCAATTCCTTCTCAACACCTTCGCATAGCCGGACAGCAGCTTCTCGTGCCACGTTCTTCTGAAGCAAGTGCTCCTCCATACCCTTCATAGCCTTGTCGAGATCTTCTTTGGTCAATGTCTTGCCTCCAACAACGTTGCGGAAGAGACCGCTAATAGCGCTGACGCCCGACCCCAGGAGGCCAGACCTGGTTTGTGTCTTTGCTCCCGCTGCCTTCTCTGCTTCTGAAGCCAGGATCTCATGCACCTCATCACCAAGATCCTTGAGTACGAACTTGCCCTTTGATGTTGAGCCCCATGTGTTGCAATCAATCTCATCCACTGCTGTTGATCGCCCCATTGCCTCAACCTCAGAGTCACTGGTAGCATGTGCCTTTGCGGAATAGTCAAGCTGGACATCGTCTTCCTCGTCGGCGAAGCCATCGGCGTCCCATTTGCGCCCCTTCTTGGCGACTGCCTTCTTCTTTCGCGGCGCTTCGTCGCCGGAAGACACCGGAGCTGAAGTCTGGTTCTTCGCTTTGCGCGCTCGGCGAGAAATCTTTGCGATAGGACCACCCTTTGCGACAAGGAGATGGTTATTCGGTGTTCCGGGTCGTGATCCGTTCGGTGTCAAAGCGGGGGTTGACTCGTCGGCTGAAAGGGCATCCTGAGGCCCATTGAGGTGGCGCCCTCGGTATGTTAGACCTGGCGCAACAGGAGGGTTGTCACCATTGTTCCCCGAGATGATTTCTTCTTCTAACGGGACTGCGCCAGCCGTGATAGTGGTGGAGGGAACCTTAGTACTAGTTTGGTCGAGCTCCTCGAGTTGTACGTCGAAGTATTCATCGAAGGCGTGGCATTCAACGAGGGTAGTATGCGGCTTGGTCAATTGTTCACCATAGAGGTTGACGAAGATAGTCTTGATATTGTCAACGAGCTTGTCGACCCATGAGAGGTGGAGGAGGGATCTGTAGACGGCCTAGAGAGGGAGTGGAGACGTCAGCGCTAAGGAACAGGGGAGAAGCCATCATGACAAGTAAGACCCAGGACTCACGACGAAGATCACGCCCAATTCCTTAACCAGAGTCCATTTGAGAGTATGCTGATCGCTCTTGTAGGGAATGTTGGCAGCCGCGGACCTTGAGTCGCTGAGAGCAATAGCGCCACTCTTCTCCTCGATAAAAGTGTCTGCGATGAAGTTGTTGATGATGGAGGGGTTTATGGGAGTGTAAGTGCGAGACCAGACGACCACGCCCGAGGTGGTTAATATTTCGAAGGAATCTAACATTTTGCGAGTATCTCTCTTGAGTGTTAGACAAGAGGAATTGAATGATGATGCTGGTGGGAGAATTAGTTAAGGTGCAAGCCAACGTGGAGGCGAATATTCGTTGGTAGATGTGGCTACTGTAGAGCACAAAGCAGCCTATGGAACTAATGGGCAAGTCTAGTTAGAGATAAGATAAAACCGCTGCACATCAAAAAGAAAGGACAGGGACTCGACCCGGACACGCCGTTTGGGCCTAGGCCATCCTTGGAGGGAGATCCAACCCTAGGAGCAGTCGTATTTCAATCATTGAGAGTACGGAGGTGAACATGACAATATGAATCAGGTCAACTGAGAATATTTTAGTTTCACTGCCTAATGATAAATATCGTCTGAAGAAACTCAGGCGTCTCTGCCTCTCTGTTGAATACGATATCGAAACAATCACGTGTTCCTTCTAACTTAAAGAAACAGGGGCTGACGTTGAGCTCCCTAACTAACTGTGGCAGTGGAGGTTGCCAGGCTGGAGCTCTCCATGATGCTAGCGCCCAATCAGAGGAAATCGACACATTTCCTGAACTTGACCTACCAGGAACTGAACAAACACCAGCTTTACGTTTAACCTCGTCATCAGCCATCACCCACTCACCTGAACCCAGCTCGAGACCTCGAAACGGCGGAGAAAAGCAGAAGAATACCCAGCGCATAAAGAACACGCACTCTCCTCCGTCATGCAGCGAGCGACATACGCGCAGTCGCCTCCCCTTCACCATCCAGTTCCTCAGCATGTGTCGACCGTCCCTCAATTAAGATCGCCGCCTCCTCCTCCAGGCTCCGCGCAATCACAGCAAGGCTACGCTGCCAACGCGGGAGGAAATCCATATCAGCAGCAGGGAGGCACCAGCGGCAACGTCTTTGGCCAGTATGGCAACTTCATGAACGACCCTACAGCGCAGGTGGCGGCGCAGTTTGGACAGACGGCCTTTAAGCATGGACAGGAGTATATGGAGCAGAACGTGAGTCCTACCAGCAACACGGTGGTCCTTTGTGGCACCTCGTACTAACTGCCGTGATAGTTTGGCCGATACGTCAACGTCTCTGCCCTCAAGCATTACTTCAATGTCTCCAACTCATACGTCGTCAATAAACTCTTCCTCGTCCTTTTCCCCTGGAGACACAAGCCTTGGTCTCGCAAGCAGGCTGTTGGGCAGAATGGACAAGAGGGCTGGTATCTACCCCCACGAGAAGACATCAACAGTCCCGATATGTATATTCCAGGTGCGTAACGCTGCCAAGGTTGGAGACCGTCACAGCTGGACTAGTTGGCTAATTGTAGTACAGTTATGGCACTTGTGACATACATTCTGCTCTCGACGTTGATCGCTGGTCTTAACAACCAATTCCAACCAGAACTTCTTGGAAAGACAGCTACAGTTAGTCTAATTGTTGTCATCGTTGAGATCTTCTTCCTGAAGCTGGGATGCTACCTCCTGAGCATCTCTAGCCAATCCCAACTCCTTGACTTGATTGCCTATTCGGGGTACAAGTTTGTCGGGATTATTACCACTATCGTCGTTGCCGAGATCCTTAATGGCGGCAAGGGTACCGGTGGCTGGGTTGGCTGGTTGGTCTTTGTCTACACTTACCTTGCAAACTCGCTCTTCTTGGTAAGTTGCATGAATAGTTGGCAAATGAAAACATACACCTGCTAACTATCTGCTTAGATGCGATCACTCAAGTACGTCCTCCTGCCCGAAACATCTGCCGGCTCCAGCGGGCCAATGCAGACGGACTCACGGGCGAAGCGCAGCCAACGCACAAAGTTTCTTTTCCTCTACTCCTACTTTGTGCAGCTCTTCTTCATGTGGCTTCTCACCAGGGCATAGTGAGTGATAGCTCACGAGTGAATCACTTGTTATGTCCAGTATATCTGCATTGCTCTCAAAGGGGGCTTAGAGACATCTGAGAGACATAAACATTAATATTGGTCAACAAACAATGGGGCGGAGAAGGTAATGAGGGATGACTGGGGATGTATGATAGCAGCTTGATCTGAACGACGAAGCATAAAAAACGTCAATGATTTTAATTTATTCAACCATGAGCTACAGATTTCAACGATATTTGCCCAAAGCCATTTCATGACTACTCACCTGCAGCACATACGTGTCTAGGTAGTAGAGTGTAGTTGGTGTTAACCAATTAGGCGTGGCTTGCATCAAACTACATCCCTCTCCACCCATGTCTTTAATTAATGATTCATTCGTGTCCCTGTATCTCTGGTTTCGTTTAAAAAACACAACTGTTCTCACGAGCTGCTTTTGTTAACCCTACAGCCCAGCACTCTCAGTACACTGGGTAGAGTGTCCTCGGAAATCTTGGCTCGCCTATCTTAGCGCCGATCTCACTGTCTCAACTTAACACGTCTCTATTCTTATCACCTCTTCAACATTGTCTTCTCTTCCATTCACACGAACCCTTGAGTTTTTGAGTAATAATAACAAAAATGGACTACCCTCCCGTCGTCATGGCCACTATTCAGAGTGCCGCCTTGGGTGGCATCGCCAATATCTTGGCTCAAGGCATTTCGGCCTACAGAGCTGGGGTAAATCTGGTAATTGAATACACTTTCAGATGCTTGAATGCTGGTACTGACTATTCTCATCTTAGAACGATATCGTGATAGACTGGATTCCTGTGTTCCAGTTCCTCCTCTTCAACGTTATCTGTACACCACCCAACTTCTACTGGTATGCTTCTTCTTCCCTTTGGAACCTTCAGACTGACGCGTCCCAGGCAAGACTTTCTTGAATCAACATTTCCCGCTCATCCTGATGATGTTCCTCAAGCTAAGGACTCCAAGGATGCTAAAAAGACTCAACCCAAGCTTTCTGTACGGAACACACTTATCAAGTTCTTTCTCGACCAGACTGTTGGTGCTGCTGTGAACACCCTGCTCTTTAGCATGTACACCCATGCCCTACGTTCAGCTATACAGCCCGCCCCCGTCATCACCAGTCTCACCAAGGCCATCACGTACTGGACTTCGCCAGGCACTCTGGACTTTGGACGTGTCAACTGGACAGCCGTTTGGGAGGCTTCCAAGGTCGATTTTGCTCCCCTTATATTTGCTGGATGGAAACTTTGGCCTGCTGTCAGCATTGTCAACTTTGCAGCGGTCAAAACCGTTGAGGGACGCAACCTCGTAGGTGCTTTGGCTGGTGTTGTGTGGGGAGTTTATATGAGTCTAGTTGCTGCCCAGTAAACCGGAGCGATGTACGTAGGCTTTAGCGATCGACTCTGGCTAAGCCGAAGCGTACGGGCAGATAGACAGCAACTCAGTCGAGTATACACGGGATACCGAGAACTCCCTGGTCGGTAGTTTTGATTTAAACGGAGGCAGCAGAACATGAGCATATACGTGACCGTGAAACCTGAATCAAACTTGTTGTATATTTGTTCGCTCTTCATTTCTTACGCTTGCATATCAAATTCCCAACCTCAAGCCTTCAAATACCTCAAACTACTCACTGACAGAACTTCCCGAAGCTATGCTGATTCTAAAGTGTCAGAGTGTGCTTCTGATGACACACTCTCGACTTCCCAATCAAACAGCGATTCGTAAACCGAGCAGGAGATGTCGCTGGCATTTTCAAACAGATCTTCTCCATTAAAGTCCTCCAGAGGCACAGATTGCTGAGGTAGAGGATTATGCCGAGGAGAGGTTGTGTCTGTAACACCGAGCGGTGATGCCCCCCCAACAGTTATGATCGTAGCGAAACCATGGCCTCGAAACAACACTGGCGCTTGCACTACCAAAACGTCTCGGGGGAAAGTATGATCGGGCACCTGGCGTTGGGTCAAATGTGGCTGGTTGACCATGGGCATTGAAGCCAATTGCTTCAAATGGTCGGTTGAACTGCTCAAGTACACTCGAGGGCATTGGTGCGGCCAGACGGTTTATATCGTCTACTTCCGAGTTCATTGCGAGGTCGGACATGGGCGAAGGCGGGTGTTCTGCCGAGCTTTCAACCTGCTTGGCTGGTCTCGGGGGTGACCTGGGGCACGCACGAGGTCTCATGAACCAATCTGGTTCTGGTGCTGTGGCAAAGACATTGAACTTTGTGAAGAGATTGTCGGCAACTTGATAACAATGCATAAGCCAGGACCGCATCTTCTAGAGGCAATCTTCGGTTTGCCCGGGCTGCAACATTGCGCAGGAAAAGTTGTAGATGAGTGCCAGTACCTATCTGATATCCTTGGGTAAGTCTTGGGCTTGGATAATGCATGACCATTCACGAGCTGCCTCGAAAACTGGATCGCCATCGGGTTCAATAGCGCGCAATGATCTGAGGATGTTAAGGTGATCGATGTTCTCGCAGCAAGGCTGGTAAGCATGAAGGCCATCGAATGTCATGAACTCTAAAAGATACATAGTCGGTATGCGAGGATGTTCGATCAAAATACTTGACAACCCACGATATGTAACATCGGTGTAAGGTAGTGCATGATGGTCGGGTATGTCCAGAAAGGTATTAGAGTTCTGTATATCGACAGCCCGACCGAGAGTATCGCTATTCGTATTTGTAGGTGATACCATGCTCCCATGTGCTATTGAGGGGAGTTCGATCGCGGAAGCCTTGAGGTCTTGTGGGTGGATCCAAAAGGCATAAGAATGCCCGTGGAAGAAAACGGCGGCACAATCTCCGCAGAAAGGCTGAATCACAGGTCGAGTTGTCCATATGGCATGATGACATTCGTGGACTGGGCAGAAGTACTATGCCTGTCGCCCAGTGAAAAGGCTATTGTGAGACAACTGATGGCGCTCAAGGACACCGTGAGTGTTGGTGGTGATGGAGAAGCACTTGCACATTGTGATATAATGAAAGTGAAAGACGATGATTGGAATGATTTCCCGTGAATTAGTGCTTGTCTTCAGATCGAAAGACTGTGAGATATTTCGTAAAGTTGAAAAGGATCGCAGTTGGATGTAGTCATACAAAAACCACTATGCCAATAGGCCCAAATAGAGTCCCTACAGTGAGGGCCTAAGGCAACAGGGATATTCTGTAGGTTCAGCAGATGCACCTCAGGCTTGGAAGGATCCATCTGTAGTGGCAAGCAGGAACCAGTGACGCCCATCGGACAATTAATAAAGGCCCAGGAGCCAGGTTGTCGGGCCAGGCACCTCTTGATACCTTACTCAGCTTGGGTAGGTACTGTGCTTGCTCTAAACGCGCCACGCAGAAGCCATCGTGGAGTTTAGGTACCTTAGGCAAGGCGCCTATCGATTGGGAGATAGTTGCCAAGGCAGGTAGGCATTCACCAACCATCAAACTGGAAGGCCAGATCTGATAAGGGCTACCAAGATCTGGCCAAGCATTTTGGCAGATCAAGCCCCTACCTAGATTGTTCAAGATGTTACCTTGTCCAATGCTATGCTAGTCCGCTGACTTGCCAAGGATTGGAAGAGATTGCTCCTCGTACGGAGTTCACTTCTCTGCCCTAGGCTATAAGTGTCTCTGCTGCGAATTCCTCCAGCAACTCAACAACTAGAATACATAGAATTCATCCATGGAACCTTTGCGTCTGTGGTGGGGCTAGGCCATCGCGGAGTTCCCCTACCTACCTACTTGAGATTGGATACCAGCATTTCTTAGCAGCGGCCAAGCCCAACTTGGTTGAAGCTTGTTGACTAGCACGGTACCGAGAGCTTGGTGAGTTCGGGAGATGCGCAAGCACCCGAGTGCGAGCCAAACTCAAACAGGTAGGATAAGCAATGTGCACGAGGATGACAGTTGTCACCCGAAAAGCTAGTAAACTTACTCACCATCCATCATCATTGATCGATCGATTCGATGCCCACGCCATGTGAGACAAATTCCGAGATCGGTGGGTGCAGTCATGCCAAGGCGTCGGCTGCGCATATCACAACGTGCCTCTGAGATAATAGTCCCCGATCTCAAATTCGCCGACACGGAGATGGCTTCCAACACGGGCAGCTCATGGCTGCAATGCTCTTAGCGCTGAAGGACGGGCTGAGTGACAGTCGTAGTTTTTGCCTCCGTAAGCTGCGTGCCGTGGTGTTGCGCTACACGCACATAGTTCCGTTTTGCATCAGAAACCACATACCTAGTGTCGATGCAGCGAATCAGATATCGCAGTTAGCGAGGTGCAGCTGCATGCTTTCAGGCTATCGTTATGCTCGAGTTGGCTTTGTTCATCTTGCGATTGCAATTATGCTTCTTCTTCTGATGAGTATTCGATAATCAACATCGTCTTTGTTGCAGCGGCGAAGTTCAAGTTGCGAGCGTTTTGATTCATCGCACTCAGCATGTGATTGTTGTGCTTGGTTGAATCCTTGTAACAGCTGTGGTCCAGGATCCCTCTCCATGGGGTTTTTGTCGCATCGAACTTCTCTTAGAAAACTCGCTCAGTTGAAACATCTCGAGTCATGGCACCGGCAACTTTCATTCTCGGCCACTTTCGACACCATCTCCCAGACATTGCCATCCCAACATTGAACAACGTATTCCAGATAACATGTTCCATTTCAGGGATGGCGTCTCTTTCTCCTTCTGTTTTTGCCCACGGCGCCTCTTTCAATGATGCTGGTTTTCATAGGCGGCCACCGGAGCAATTATTGCTTAGCCTCTCAACCCCCAGCCCCCATCTCTACTTGATCTCCAGTATATTGCATGGCGTGTGTTAGCGTGTGTGGTCTGTAAGGGGTTTATTTCAGGCGAGTCCGAAAAACTACGGTGAGGTCTTGCTGATCCATTTGGAGAGACAGACTGATGTGTTTGAATGACCTCGAGTTTCACTATGGGGAGTATCGCATGGAGCGGCTCTTATTCAGTGTCATATGAGTAAGAAGAAATCGAAGCTTGATTTAGAACCTGGAATCCAGGAATTCGCCGCCAGCCAAGAACCAAGAAGCAGGTACTGTAGTGGAGACAGCCACTAAAATGACCGTTCCTCTTTTGGTGGAAAAAGCCACTAAGTTTTGTCATTCATCATTCATCACCCGCTAACAAATTGGCGCATCCACTCAGGCTTCTTCTACAGCAGGGCGCAAGGCATAAGATACCCCACCAGGGCACATTGCTGGCTTACAGTAGATCCCCAATCCTAGCACCTGCCTGGCGCTGGCGATTCAGAACTTCCCGTCCCGTACCAACCAAGGCCAACATAACACGCCCATACCCATTCAATTTCTTCCTGACCACGACAAGACGATGGCTTCATGTTCTTCTTTGGGCTGAACAGACCCGGGGCTTTCTTTTCGCTTCCAATTACACGTCACTGATCGCGTGCGACTTTGACGACCTCGATCATCACTAATAAGATCCTACCTCGAGGTGCCTCCAATTTGCGACTGCAATGACGACACAAAATACGGCCAATATCTCACCTCTCTCTCAATTTTAGGGCGGCTGTCGTCCGCTCCCCCAGTAGTTGCTGAGCCGTATCGATTTCTGCCAGCCCTCATAGTCTCATAGTTTGGGCTTTGACATGATCACACTGCTCAATGCCGCCTCCAGCTCTCCAACACCTCGGTCTTATCGACCTCGTCGCTTCTGACCCTCGACCAACATTCGTCGTTGCATTGCCCGAGCAAACATCCTCCAGGATATCCCATTATTCAGCCGACATCCTGTATCGAAACCCTGCCTTACAGAACTCTTATACCCTCGACCACTCCATTGCCTCTATCCCTCAAGATGTTTCCCACTCGCCGTTCTGGAATTGGGTCACCAGCCCGCCATCTGCGCCAACGTCTCACACTGATGCCACAGGTCCTGCACCCACAAATACGCAACACTCGCTTCCATATCTTGGTGTTTACTGGACACGAAGCATAGTTCTGGGTCAATGGGTGGTGATGAGTGGAAATGAAACGCCTCCTTCCTCAGAGCCCCCGCGCAAAGTTCGAATAGAGGGAAAGGAGGGTGAGACAACTAGAAGATATCCCCAAAAATCGCCACTGGACAATGCGCGTTTACCGTCCCGAAAAAAGTCGGAGAGCAAAACTCCACTGCATTATCGCGATGAATCAAACCCAGGGCTCATGATCCCAGTCTCCGACTCCGAAGCAGAGCCATTTCTTGACGTGGTTCAGAATGTGGATTGGGAGTCGACGTCTCTAGGACCCATGTCAGATTGGCCCGCCCAACTTCAGCATACATTCAATCAACTCGTCTCAGATTCGCGACCAGTGGCGCTCTATTGGGGCCCCGAGTATGTCACGATCTACAATGAAGCCTTTTCAAAATACTGCGGCGCTAGACATCCTGGACTTTTAGGACGACCAGCACCTGAAGCTTGGCCTCACCTCAAAACTAGGCTCGATGAAATGACGGCTTCGCCATCGAATAACTATTCGAATGCTGAGGATGAGTCCAAATTTTTCATCCCCTTGGCAGACGGCTCGCATGAAGAGACATATGTCAAATCTTCTATGGTCCCCATTGTCTACGACAAGAAATGCCTCGGAATCCAGCATTCGCTACTTGAAATGACCTCAAGACGACTTTGGGAGCGAAGGATGAAAATGCTTATTGATCTCGGTGAGGCCCTTGTCTCTACGAAGGATGCCAAGTCGTACTGGTCCAGGACGATTGAGGAATTGGAACGCTGGAGCCCTACCTACGATGTCCCATTGGCTTTTCTGTACTCCGTAGCAGACGACGAATCCGACACTACCCTTTCAAAATATGATTGCCCCAAGATTTGTCATCTTGAGGGCTCGCTGGGCGTGCCAGAGGGACATGCGATTGCTCCTCAGACCCTCAGTCTCAGGGAAACAGATGAGGGGTTGGCTTCTGTCATGAGGAAGTCATTGGATCACCGCCAACCAATTCTTTTGCAGACAAAGGACGACACATTGCCAAAAAGCCTGTTACACGGCTTAGCATGGCGCGGCTTTGGTGACCCTTGCCAGGCTGCCATCGTGTTGCCTATTCGTCCAACCAAAGAGGAAAACGCCATGGGTATTCTGTTCTTAGGCTTGAATCCTCGACGCCCATACGATAACGATTATCGGCAGTTCATATCCTTGCTGAACCAGAAGCTTACAAGCTCTCTTGCCTCCACAGTTCTCTTGGAAGAGGAGGCACGGCGGCGGCGCAACATCACCGAGCAGGCTGCTTACGACAATGCTATGCTTACACAGCGACTAGAGTACCAAACCGAACAGACAGAGAGATCTATGCAAACGTTTACCGCGGTTGCAGAATTTATCCCCGTGGGTATGTGCTTTGTGGATGTCGAGGGTAATATCACCTTTGCCAATGATGCCTGGCATCGTATTACCGGATGTCCAAGAGGACCGATCGTGCAAAGCACATTTCTCGAGTCGGTGCTCGAGGAAGATAAAAAAAAAGTTATACAAGCATACAAAGACGTCCAGAAAGTCGACACTGTTACTTTCGAATACCGCATCACCCGAAACGAGAACACAGCGGGTCCGAAAAGCTTCAAGTCTTCTACAGGTCCTTTATCTTCAAACGACGAAAGAGTCTTGCGTCATATCCTGGCTTCTACAAAGGCCGAGAGAGCTCCAGATGGCACTGTCATCCGAATCCTCACTTGCTTGACTGACGTAACGGTACAAAAAGACACGGCCGAGGAGGCGGTTCGCAGGGCACAAGAAGCAGAGAATCTAAAGCGCCTCGCCGAGTTTGCCACAGTTGGAATGTACGATGTCAGCATGGATGGAAGATTGCTGAGCGCGAACAATCTTTTCTGGGAACTGACAGACTTGGAAAAGGTCGATCTCACAAAGACCGATGTGAGGCCCTGGCCAGAATGTGTTGTGAAGGAAGATTTGCATATCCTACAGGAAAGCCTCGATAAGCTAGTGGTATCAGG